TAATTATACTTTTGGTACAATATATATAGTGTTTTCAAACTTACCTGCTAATACATCTGTACAACAATAAACAGGGTATCAGAAGAGAACAAACTATTTATATAGTAGAATAAAAATTGAAATAATTCTTCATAATTATATGTACAATTTATCAAAATAATTGTGTTGCCGTTCATACATACAAGTTATATTCCAATAAAAAATTCTAAATATCCCAGCATCTTGACAAAGAACCCTGAACAATATAGAATACCATATATCTGTTGATGATTCCTATACAATCTTGAAATCACTTTACTCTAGTGAAATTCTGAGTGGCTCACTATGAAAATGGTCCTGAGTGTGCTGGAGTGGAATATCACATGTTCCTCATCACCTAATTGATTGCTTGAAAAATAGATAAATTGAATATACATTGGGGTGTGTATAATTTGCAGCCTAGAATGAAATGCTGGGGACTGGCTATTTCCAGCAAACAAATCGTTGTTCTTACTGCATATCTGGATTCAGCTCATCGAACTACAGGATGAAAAGTTTCTGATTTTATTCACTGCCCCATTTTCTTGTGTGTTTTTTCATGAAATCTTGTGAACTGGATATTTCTGCAGCTCGACTTTCAAGGAGGTATCTACGTATAAAAAATATAATAATATTTTGTGTTTGGAGCAGAATATCCATAAGACATTGATGAAATAACCAGATTGAGTCTAACCTTAGTGCTTCTATATATTTATTTCAGATGGTAAATTTTCCATTCTGTTCTCGAACATCATCATCCTTCTGGTACATTCCTTCTGAACATTACTCACATAATGATTTCTAATGTGATACTTCCACATCACTCATAGTTTTTCGTTTTTCAACTGAAAAGCTATTAATGTAAGTACTCTTCACTGTAGGTAGGTACCTGAAATTTTCAAGTATAATATAGTGATTCCGATGTGTACATGGTTTACATCACTAAAGACATGTTTTCACTGCAAATAATGGAATTTCATGAATTATATAGTAACATCAAAAATATAGAAGGAAATAAGCAGCCCCTACCTTTCTGCTTGGCTTGCATGTCGAAAAAGTGTAATAGCACTATTGAGTTTCCGAAGTTTCCACAGTTCCAACATAAATTCAAGTTGCATCATAAACCATACTAATACAGCATTGCCTAAACATCTACCTGCTTCCATTCAAGTATAGGTAGATGGTTTTCATACTTGATAATATCCTTCGTGATAATGTTTCATTTTCGGGATTCCACATGACAGATTTTTATTTACAAACTTGACAGGACCACGAAAAATGTTACGGTTAGGAATAAAAAATGAATAACTTAGTTCACTTAATTCACGTAGATGTCTCTGAACTACATATTTTCTTCATTTGTCTTTTCAATGAACAGACAATATTATAGCTCCTGCCTACTAACTACCTAACTAGGTTGTCATCCAGAACGACAATGGTTTGAAGCCTATCCAACTCTTCGAACTGCCATCGAACGTAATGAAAAATGTCCCTTCTGTGTTATACGTGAGGCACTTAAGGGTTGTGGCGGGGTCAGAGGGGTGGGGAACGGGGAAACAGCTCGACCTGAAGACGATATTATCCTCGTCGAACATTATTTATGTTTGCACTTTACGCGCGAGCACTGTACTTTATTGGAATTTCATTGGCTCGCGCATAGGGGGGGGGGGGGTGTCATCTTCTATTCCTGTGACTGGGTATAATTCGTCAGAACGTATTCCATCAAAATTGTATCGTATCAGAATATATTCGATCGGAATGGTATTTCAACTGAACCATAATTCAACTTAAGTCTAGTAAAATGAAGGAATGAACTTCATAGGAACGTAATACATCATACTGTACTTCATTGGAGTGATAATTCATCATAACCGTATTTCATAAAAATGGTATTTTATCAGAATCGTATTCTAGCGGAACGGTAATTCAACAAAACCGTATTGTATAGAAAAGACAATTTATCAGAACCTTATTATTTTGTCTGACCAGTTATCTATCATTACCGTAAATCATCATAATAATAAATAATCAGAGCTGTCATTTGTCGGAATTGGATTTTTTCCGAACTGTATTGTGTCGAGACAATGAAAAATCATAATCTTATTTCGTTGCACTACCAACCTGTAAGAATCGCATTCTAATGATTATTATGTTTCACTGGAGCGACAAATAACGATTCTGATAGATTACTGACTCGATGAAAAACGTTCCTATACAATGAGATTCTGATAAAATACGATTCTCATGATTTACTGTTGATTTGAAATACCATCTCTATACAATACGATTCTGATAGAATACCTCGTGGACGGAATAAAATTATGATGAATTACCGTCATGATGGAATACGATTCTGATAAATTACCATTTTCGTCGAATACGGTTCTTACTCAATACCATTCTGATGATATACGTTTTGTTTTTATACATTCCTACAAATTGCGGTTTTATGTTTTACATTGCGATAAAAAACGTGCCTACAGTATACAGTTCCTGTCAATTACGTTTCCTACAAATTACCATTCTGATGAAATATATTCCTATACCGGGTGATTCTTCCAAGTGGCTCACCCATATAACTTCTTTATTATTGAATATGGAAAAACGAAATCCTGGTGTTGGATGGTTCAATTTACATTTTTTTTGCCGCGGATGATCATAATAACAGGACTTTTGAGTAGGTATGATCGCTTTCTGTAGTTATTCAGAAAAAATGTGGAAATGGAGTTGGAGTGTGTGGTATCAAATTATTCGTAAAATAATGATCCCCAGAAAAAACCCTTTTGAAATAATCAAGATAGCTGAAAAAATCATATTTGAGGCTTCAAATGATTCTTAAAACTACTGTGAAATCATAAGCCTCAAAGTCATATTTTTTTCGGTCAATCCGGAAGTACGGAAGAACGCAAGTAAATATGTAAAAAATTGTAAATTGAACTATAATACCGAGTATTAAATACACAACCTCCAAAAGTGTATCCATCTTCAATAATAAAAAAGTTATAGGAATGTGCCACCTTGAAAAATCACCCGGTATATAGATTATATTTTGATACTTCATATTCTTACGTTCTAAGTGACCTCTAATCCTGTTAGGAATCTAGAATTCAATACCAAGACTATAAGAGGTGCTAGGGAATATTCGTGAATCCATTGTCAGCTGATGCCCCGGCAGGCTGTTTCGGCTTGCCGAGTTTCATCAGTCGCACTAGGACAGCTGACCATCGATTCACCAACGGTACTCAAAAAGCTAACTCCTCCTATTAATGCGTATTCAAACTGAAAACTTCCGATACCACGATATCTATTGACCCCTATAAGAACACCCTGACCCTGACCCTTCGGCTTATGATGTGTTCCACACGTGGAATACAATCCTAGTTGGTGCATTCCCCTCGACTCCCTCTCTTATGGTAATTATTTTCCTCATCGTTTCCGGTTCAGCGTAATACACATACACGTTCCGGATATTTCCATTTGATTGCGTCGAGCAGGAGATGATGAACTGGATTCTGCAGAAGTTTGGGGTTTCACAGCAATCAAAGCGGAATTGGAGACAGGAACACGAAACATCTCGAGTTATTTCGTGGGAATGAATATTTTCTCGAAGGTGGCATCGAATATGTGATTTTTTGTGATTACAAAAATATATACAGAGTGGCATTGAAATAAGTGCAAATATTTGAAACCCTGAGAAAAAAATATAGACATCCAAATAATATTTGGGGTTAGACCATTTTTCCACCCAAAGTTCTACACTGAATCAATTCTGACGTCAATCATTTAAATCGTTCTTTGTTCAATTTTCGGGATGACATTTCTCATTGATTAAATTTTTTTTTTATTTTCTCCCATTATAATTCTTTGATTCCGACCAGTAAGGTATGATCTAAACCAATCCAGAGTTGTACCTCGGAAACCATAATGAATAAGTTTCCGCAGCAGAATTTCATGACTTACACAGTCAAACGCTTTGGAAAGGTCAAGAAAAACTGCTGCAGCTGCCTCCTTTTCATTTAGGTTCGTGTAGATTCTTTCAAGGAAGTCGAAAATGGCGTTCTCTCGTGGTCAATATATTCTGTTTCTCTAAAAAAACCATTATTCTACATTTGACAAGCTTCTCAATTATTTTAGATAATGTTGATCACACCGAGATATTGGTCTGAAATTGTCGGGGTCATCAATAGCTCCTCCTTTGTGGAGAGGTATCACTACCGCAGACTTCAAGACTTCAATATCATTGAAGTTCGTGGTATTTTCGACGAAAATTCGCGTTCACGCCGCGAATTCCGCAGGACCTGACCCCCTAATGAAACAATTATCCATCGAGGATCAGTCGATTTTACGCTAATTTGACGTTGATCGATCCGCTCTCGCTAGTAAGAGCGGAACAAAAGTTCGACAAGTTCGAATCTCGATTAGTTCGTAAGCCATCGACCGAAGTTCGTCGCAGATCTGTGGCCCTTCTACAGAGTGTTTCATAAAGTTGGCCTCATAGCCCTCATATGGGAACAACTTTTAATAATAATTCATTTTGAAATTCTACTTTGGCATAGAGTTATGTTTGGTGAAAGATAAAAAATGGTCTACTCGGTCGGAGGGGGGCGGGGGATAAGAGGGGAAGGTCACATGTCTCTCACTAGATGTCAATAGTTGAATTTTTTTCGAATTAATCGCTTGAAATAGGCTCATTTGTTCGATGTTCAAATTTCATCGTCTTGGAGATATGTAGTGTATCTGAAAGTTGGGGCGATAAAGTAGAGGGGGATATAATACGAAAAAATCCAACATAATGGAATGAAAGGATATATTTTCCTAAAAAAAATTGATTCATAATTGTCTAAAACTATGAGAGACGGACGGTCATGATTGAAATATGTGCAGAATGATGAAAACGCGCATCTTTATTTTGTCATATTATTTTTTAGTGATTCACTCCATTCATCGCCTCAGTTTCGATAATGGTTAATTTTTTTGTTTCAGAATTATGGAGACCTCCAAAGATCAGATATCCCGAAAATGTAAAAGTTGAGGAAAACTGCTGATACCAAGTCGAGGACATAGACGATCTCACCATCATGTTACCCACTAATGTAATGTCTTTCATGAAGAAGGTGAGTTCCTACTAAAAGAAATAAACATAAAAAACGATATTATTATGATACCGTTACGATCATTGCTCATACAAGCACCAAGGTGTGAACAAATGTTTAGAAGGAAGTTCGATAACAAATGTTTTGTTTGCTCGCGAAGTATCACCATCACAGGCTTGCATTTTTATAAGTGTCATTCGTAGTACTTCGTAGTGCCTGCTATAGTCAAAAAAGTAAACTCGTACCAGATAATGAATTAATCCAGTGTAGAATTAATGGAACACAGTTCAATTACCGTGAAACGCATAATATGATATACAAATAGCATAGAGTGTTAGTTTAATGGTCTCGTAAATCTGGGGTACATGTAGTGATGCCGTGTTGATTTGTTTAGGGCTCTTTGTCATTTCGAATGTTCCAACCTCTGTTTATTGGTGATTCGCAGCCAACTCTTAACCAATTATAATAAGTTACAACACGGTCCAGAAAATCTTTGGATCAGCTAGTCCTTTGGAGGAATATAATCCAGGATTGACAGATTCACAACCTTGAATTCTACCAGAATCCTTCATCCTTCCCTGGAAGTGGAATAGCTCCTGGCCCGAAACAGAAAACCGAGTTTTTGAGATGCACTTTTAGCGATTGATCTTACGTGATTTTCCCAAGAAAGGTTATTGCTGATAGTAATACCAAGCTTCGAAATGGATGTCTTCAAAGGTATGGTTACTCCTGACAAGCTTATGTTGGGCACAGTGAGATCGGCTTTTCTAGAGAAAAGGCATGCTTGTGTTTTGTTTGTATTGAAATACAAGGTTCTGACGGATACTAATTACAAAAAAATAGCATCTTTTTGAATCCTTATACAGGACGATGCTTAATCGATACGCATAAACTTGGAGAATTATAGCTCATGAGGAAGTTGAGTGACAGTTTCTTGATTTTCGAATTATTTTGTGTTAGAACACAAACTGAATGGCATTTTGTCATTCATATGGAATCAAGCCTGCTTGAACAAGCCCAGGAAATACCCATCAAGCGGTATCTTCCTGATTAGGTTGTGTTGAATTGGAAATGATGGACTTTATCGATCAATTGCTATGATAAATTGGTTCATGAAAGCGAATGCTTCGGTCTGAGGAACATGTTTGTATACAACAAACTATTATTTTTCCATCGATTTCTGATGTCCTACTCATCAAGACTCAAACTTCCTGAAACAATGGAAACTGAAACCATTTATATTCGAATTTTTTCCCTGAAACTCATACAGACTGAATTTCACGCTAATGTTCAAAGCACAATAAACAGGAGCGACTATCGGTCTGGAGAGAATGAATGGTGGTGTTCCGGGAAATATGGCTATATTGATGTCTCTTAAATGAGCATCCATCCAGCAAAGCGTGAAATTGTCAACTTGCCAGCTGTTGGATGTTCACTTTGAAATAATGATACCTATGAAATGCCGGTTCACCATCCATCTCCAACATTCATTCACCCCAGTAGCGGATTCTTATGAGAGGAAAATTATCAGTATGCATAATCCGGTATAAAAAAAATACACAATCCATATGGAAAGTTCGAAATATAAGAATACTCTGAAATTGAAAAATTGTTTTTTTCTGCAACCGACACAAAAGTCGTCCATTTTGATACCAAAATTAGCTCTTAAATTGACGTTTCTATTACTGACACAAAAATAGGTATGTTGCTAGGCAACATATTTAGTTCCTAGGAGCTAAAGTTGAATTTTAGTTCCTAGGAGCTAAAGTTGAACATTAGCTCCTAGGAACTGAAAAGGATGTACTGGACGTCATCAAGAATAAACAACATTGTGACGGTTGGTTATTTGGGTTGAGACGCATACCTGATTTGTTTCCGATTTCAGCAGATTTGGCATTTCATACCCATGCTGGAGATATAAATACACCTTATTATAGTTTAGTATTGAAATTATAAACATCTCAGCTAAGTATTTTTGTATTAATCAGGGAAGCCTTCAAGATTCAAATACTTGCTTGATCTCGCTGTATTTCATTCGTTATTCTCGGGATGGATAACTTGTTTTTGAATAATCACGACAAGCAATAGTTTTTTGTCTCAAACAACGATATTGTTTAACTTCATTTGATTATCAAGTCAAATACATGGAGAGGAATAAATAATCACCATTATCATAGTTGATATGCTCACTAACCTAACATTTTCCACGTCTTGTTCCTATAGCTGGCACTGGCGCGGTATTTGCCATTAGAGCACCTGGTCCATACACAAATATGTCACTCTGTGGTTGTATTTATATTGAAACTACAATTCGAACATCCTTGAAAACCTAACCTGCTGTTAATGCAGGTAGAATATTCTTATACCACATGGATTATTTGTCAATATTTGTTGCATTGCATACATATGGCACGGCATTGGTGGTTACTTCACATGCATGTTTATTTGAGTTAATTGTTTCGGTTGCAGAAAAAATAGCATGTTTCATTCGGATCAAAAGTGACTTTGTTCGACTCGCAAAATTTGCTTGTCAAACAAAGTGTCACTTTTGATCCTAATAAAACAATCTACTATTTTTAACACATTTGTTTTATTTTACTTTATACTTTAAACTGTTTTACCACTACAGTTTTTTTACGGTCTCGACACAGTGTTTCGCTAATTATGGTAGCATCAGGTATGTTCTAGTTGTTCACCTAACCGTGGAAGACACTTACTGAGCAGTTAATGTCTGTTCACAAATTTGATTTTTTGAGATATTTTTAATCGTTTTCACCACAATGCTCCTCTACCAAGGAATGTACGTCAATTTTTATGCAGTCACCGTTTTTTTCCCATCTCAACTTTTTTTTCTGCAACCATTCCACTTTTTCCACTCCATTTTCACGATTTTATTATTATTATTATTATTATTATTATTTCTCCTGTATTACTAAATTTTATCGGACTTGCACTACCAATACTCCAACATTGAATTGACCCATACGTGACCAACCAACCTCGTTTTTTATCGATAAAACTTTTGACATTTAAAACGTCAATCATGTTCGTGATACTACTTTTCCTGAAAATATCCGTCGATTGACATACTCCAGCTTGCTGCTTTAATTTCACTCATGACATTGATCCAAAACTTACCGCCTAAGGCTAGAAAGTTTTGATATACAATGTCATTCGCGAAATTATTAAGCAACAAGGTGTCGTAACAATCGCCAAATATTTCCAGCAAAATAGTATCACTTGTGGTATTACATATGAGACAATCTAGGTGAAGAATTGATTCGGTTTAAAAATTTGTTTTTTGAGGTATTTCAATCGTTTTTCCAGATTACTCCTTTCCAGATGTAACTCAATGTTTACACAACCATACTTTTTCTCCCATATTAACCCATTTTTCTGTGTGAAGTATTTGATTTTTTGAGGTATTTCCAATCGATTTTTTTTCAAGTTGCTCCTCTGTCTAGTTATATGTAAGTTGCTGTGAAAATATGGTGGAATTGAATCATTCTTTGATCAAAGGAAATGCTATTAGTGATTGGAGTCATTAGTTGTGTAGTGTGATGGTTTGCTTTATGAAAAAATAATATTCTTCATTTATTCACGTAAATCTAGTCTCCTCTGTTGAAACGCTACTGTTGACTGTTTGTGACCCTTGAGGTAGGGGTGTATTTTGAATGAGGGTGCGACTATACTGAAACAACTCTTGAGGAAGTTTCATACTCAGAAGAAGTTTATTGCTATAACAGCTAGGAATGTATTTTCATGACGTGAATCACATAGAAAGAAGATATTCAGAAGATGAATCGTTATTATTATTACCTGCTTATTGGGCATTAAGGTGAAATGCTATACTCATATGACATTAAATTATTATAGTATTCGCGAAGTTATTATGTTGAATAATGTTGTGCTATATCATGTGAAATTGTTAGGTGGAATGCGAGGTAGAAAGGTACTAAATGAATCTGAGGGAAAACAGCTTTTTTCCACTTGAAGAATAATGAATACAAAATATACTTTTTCAAAATCATTAGATCTAGAGCGACACGAGTCATTGAGTAGGTACCAAAATATGAGGAAAAAAGTAATCTCTATTAGGGTTATTGCCATCTCAAAAATATGATTATTTGGAAAACTCGAATCATTTTTTGTAATTCCAAAAATATATTTTTTTGTTGCACAAACCGAATGAAAACTCAAAAATATTTTAAAAACAAAAAATGAATTCTCAATCAATAGTTTGAAACAAAACTAATTCACATAAATAATACCAAATCTATTGATATTCAATTTTTGAGCCGAATTTCACTGACATGATAGTAGTTTATGTCAGTAGTGAGACCAGACAAAAATCCGGACAATCTTTCAAAACCCGCCCGGACTTCCCCGGACGCCTTTAACACCGGACATGTCCGAGAAAATCTGGATTGATGGCAACTCAACCTTTATTGAAATATTCTTCTGATCCCTTTTTTATACTAATCAATATTTTCAGAAAATATCGTTTCAGAAGTATAATAATCTACATTATAGTCTCTTATTGAATTATTTTAGAATCAATTTGGATTAGAATTTTCATTATTTCTCTCAGTTTTTCCAACGTTCCGGGCAAACCATTATGGCAATACACACTAGTGATATAACAATTGCATTACTGTTATTAGCACTTTCATTGCAACTCTTCCATTCCCATTTCCCATGCGATATTTTCCATCGACCAGTAAAAAATTGAGTGTTTGCAATTTTGTACGCCGAGTCGTTACCTAGCCAAGCCCATTATCGGTAACACACAGAGTGTCCCAAATAAAATGTAGCACGCCTTTTATTTTCCGGATATGATGAGGAAATTATGTGTCCTCAGATTACTCCGTGAAAAAAATTACCTTCGAATTCGAAAGATGAGGAGTATGAAGAACTGAACTGTGGATTTTGTTCTGCGGAATACATTGGTCAGACAGGTAGAACGTTTAATCACGGCATTCACGAACATCATATGAGTTTCCGAAGAAAATGTATTCTTT